ACTGCGAAAAAGTCATAACTTATTAAGTTTTTAGCTTCGTTTACATTTAACCTAACTCCTAGCAATGAGAAAAACGTTTAATCTATGTATGCGCCTACTATTGCATGGGAAATAAAACCGATATCACAATGTCAAATTCACTATCAAAATCTAGATATATATTTTAACTTGTTTGAAACTTCGATAAAGATAAATTAAGATAAGATAACTTTAGTGTTCGGTAGGTGTATCAAACTTATGAAGGGTCTATTTAATTACAAAGAAAAATGAACGCCTACTTGTATCTTGTCGATTATAATTTATTGATAGTTGACAGGTATTACCTACCCAGCACAACGTTAAATTAGAATCTCTTGCCGTGCTCCGTAAGGTTAATTACTAATAACGTGTCTATTGTTCTAAATAGGGTGCGTTCGAATTTAAGGCCGATAAGGAAGATTTAGGGATTAAACCGTTGGAAGAGTTATATGAAGTTGAACTATATACTTTAAAATTATAATCCAACTACAATCGCAGTAAGAATTTAAACTGGCAAATGAAATTAAAATAATTAAAATACTTTAAATGTTTGGATCAAATCGTTTAAGTTTGTTAAGTTTTTTCAAGACTGGTGATGAGCAAAAGAAGACCAAAACTAAGACCAAGGGTGTCTCAGTTGATCTTGGTCTTACTCTTACTCAAATACTTCTGATTTCGGTTTTGGACTTGGTCTTGCGTGTTAAGTCTTCTTCTTGTCCATTTAACCTGATACATCCGTTGTTTAATAAAATGAAATGATTCGAAGTGGTCTGTATTCTGTCGAAACTGCCAGACGCGGATCGCGATTTCNGAAATTTGTGTATTGACTTAATTCGGCTTTGATCTGTAGCGGAAAAATGTATATCTTTTTGTATATATTATATTCTAGGGATTCTTTCTTCATTCATATTTATTCCATTTCAATTCTTTTCAATTTCTTATCTTGTACATACCTTGGTTTCCTTTCAATATAAACTCTATTGTTCTCTCAATCACTTTTACCTGGAAATTTAACTTCAACCATACCTGCATGCACTCTCCTACTAATATCTGGTTTTACCCTTAGTTGCTTTCTCTTGAATTCTATACTGTTTAATTGTACGCATTTCTATAATCCAGTATCTTCAGCCTAACTCTCAGTACTTTTCCTTTTAGAACGTTCTACCAAATTTACTAACAACCCTGTCCTATAAATACTCGGAAAAATTCCTATCTGTACAACCGAGCGGCATGGCCTAGACAGTTTTAACCGATTCAGTCGGTAACGCTTGAAATTTTTGGTTACGATAAATTTTGTCCGTTGGAATATATATACATATATAGGTAATTGCAAATATGAATTTTTGCAATCGGGTAGTTTGTGATTTATTAAGGGAAAATTTTAGAACATTCGCCTTATACGCCATTGCCAATGAATTCGATTTTTACCTTCAACAATTGAAAAGCTATTCTGACTACTCGGCTTCCTATATGCAAAACGGTCGGATCTCGTTACTGTATACTTCTAGTTTGAATTATTAAAATGTAGGAGAATACAAAACGAATAATAAAACACATTTTATTGATAGTTCCATGTCATTCCTATCCTGGGAATATAGCATCTGATGTTTTACGACTAACTACATACGTATATCACATGTAAGAGAAAATGTCTAAATCGGATGTCTCAAGACTCAAGATCGGTGTGAACCTTATTCAAAATCTAAATAAAATTGTAAACTGATATCAACCTTGTTCGTAATTTGAGAATTTTGGCTCACTGAAAGGGGGTAGAAACCATATATAGAAACTAACAGTTACCAGGAGAGTTTGAAATGTAACACTTCTTGTGGCTGTTATATACATTACAGTAAAGTTCACTTATAAAAAGTCATGTGATGGGCAAAATTATCCTTGGTCTTGGTCTTGGAAAAATGTAAGACCAAAACCGAATGAACAAGACCAAGACAATCACCAAGACCGAATAAACAAGGGCAAGATCAAATACGCAAGACTAAACAAAAAATTATTATTTCCGGTGGATTTATGAGTTAAACCATTTCAAACAACTTTGATATATATTTTTTTCTTAGAACAAAACATTTTTAGTATATGAAATTTTCAGTTTGCTTTACGAAATTTTAACACTTAATATAAAAAAATAAAACTTTGCCATTGTTTGCAAAAAAAGATCATCTACAATCTATTTACATAAAGGTGTATGTTTGGAGCACGGCGCTATACGGGTGCGAAACATGGACAGTGGGCACGGCGGAAAAGAAAAGGTTAGAAGCGTTTGAAATGTGATGTTACCGGCGAATGATGAGGATACCGTGGATAGAGAAGATTCGAAATGAAGAGATATTAAAAAGAATAGGAGAACAGAGGACTTTTATGAAAGTCAATAAATAATAGGCGAAATGGGTTGGTAGGATACCTTGTCAGACATGAAGGTCTAGTCAGAAACATATTCGAGGCAGAAACAGAAGCCAAGAGGTGTAGAGGTAGACCTATATTAGATTAATGTTCACAAGTAGTTATGGATGTGGGATGTTCTAGTTTTTGGAAAATGGAAGATTAGCTTAGGATAGGAAGGAGTGTACGTGCGTGTCCAACTAGTTTTAGGACTGATGAATAGGAAAGACCAAGAGCAAGACCAAGGCCAAGATCATCCCAGTCTTGGTATTACTTCTTATATATATCCCTATTACTATATAAAAATATGGATAATAAAATACTACTGCGAAAAAGTCATAACTTATTAAGTTTTTAGCTTCGTTTACATTTAACCTAACTCCTAGCAATGAGAAAAACGTTTAATCTATGTATGCGCCTACTATTGCATGGGAAATAAAACCGATATCACAATGTCAAATTCACTATCAAAATCTAGATATATATTTTAACTTGTTTGAAACTTCGATAAAGATAAATTAAGATAAGATAACTTTAGTGTTCGGTAGGTGTATCAAACTTATGAAGGGTCTATTTAATTACAAAGAAAAATGAACGCCTACTTGTATCTTGTCGATTATAATTTATTGATAGTTGACAGGTATTACCTACCCAGCACAACGTTAAATTAAAATCTCTTGCCATGCTCCGTAAGGTTAATTACTAATAACGTGTCTATTGTTCTAAATAGGGTGCGTTCGAATTTAAGGCCGATAAGGAAGATTTAGGGATTAAACCGTTGGAAGAGTTATATGAAGTTGAACTATATACTTTAAAATTATAATCCAACTAAAATCGCAGTAAGAATTTAAACTGGCAAATGAAATTAAAATAATTAAAATACTTTAAATGTTTGGATCAAATCGTTTAAGTTTGTTAAGTTTTTCAAGACTGGTGATTAACAAAAGAAAACCAAGACTGTCTTAGTCGATCTTGGTCTTACTCATGCTCAAATACTTCTGATTTCGATCTTGGTCTTGGTCTTGCGTGTTAAGTCTTCGTCTTGTTCATTTAACCTGATACATCCGTTGTTTAATAAAATGAAATGATTCGAAGTGGTCTGTATTCTGTCGAAACTGCCAGATGCGGATCGCGATTTCGATCTTTTTGGATCTCATCAGCGCGTCGCAGACAGCTCCGACAGAACACAGACCAACTTTTACCTGCTGTCTTAACAGTGCGTTTTAAAAATACCACAAATGGCGCGGTAAACGCCATCTGTAGTACAATACTACATTTTAGGATTACGTATGCTTCAACAAGGTCCACTTGTGTGGATATCTACATGCCGAAACGAATCCCATCGTACTACAGATGGCGTTTACCGCACCATTTGTGGTATTTTCTAAAACGCGCTGTTAAGACAGCAAGTAAAAGTTGGTCTGTGCTCCGTCGGAGCTGTCTGCGACGCGCTGATGAGATCCAAAAAGATCCGCGTCTGGCAGTTTCGACAGAATACAGACCACTTCGAATTATTTTATTCGATTATGGTAACGTGCCTATCACGTTGAGGTTAGCTACGCCGGGATTCGTTTCAGCAAGTAGATATCCATATATTTAAATGGACCTTGTTGGAGCATACGTAATCCTAAAATGTAGCATCGTACTACAGATGGCGTTTACCGCGCCATTTGTGGTATTTTCTAAAACGCGCTGTTAAGACAGCAGGTAAAAGTTGGTCTGTGTTCCGTCGGAGCTGTCTGCGACGCGCTGATGAGATCCAAAAAGATCCGCGTCTGGCAGTTTCGACAGAATACAGACCACTTCGAATTATTTTATTCGATTATGGTAACGTGCCTATCACGTTGAGGTTGGCTATGCCGGGATTCGTTTCAGCAACTAGATATCCATATATTTAAATGGACCTTGTTGGAGCATACGTAATCCTAAAATGTACCATCGTAATACAGATGGCGTTTACGGCGCCATTTGTGGTATTTTCTACTTCCGTTGTTTATTAATAATTCTTCTAAAGACAAGTTTTTCTATTGACAATAATTTTCTGTCATACATGTGGGAACTTGTAATGACTACACTATTGTTATCACCTTTCGTAGCTTAGTGGTTAGAGTATTGGTGCGCAAAGCCGAAGGTTCTGGGTTCGATTCCCGGCGAGGGTGTGACAGCAGCAACAAAAGTTTTTTATAAATTTCTTATATAAAGGTAACTTATAGCGAAAAAAAAAATGAAACAAAAATTAATATTATATAAACTATTGTAAGTAATACAATTAGCAACAACTAGCAAAAGATTCCGGATCAATTGCTTTGTATACAGAAGTTTTAGTTTGGTCACTGATCCTTGCTGTGCTGATGGAAACTAATCAATTCGAAATCCTGATCTATATTTGTTGTTAATTTCGATAAATTACTACCCATAAACTTAGTTTATGAGGTTTTACCCAATCCTCCCCTTTTCTATTGCCAATGTAAATTTTAGGACTTTAGGACGTCCATGAATGTATTGTTTCTATGTACACGTGTAAATAATTGAACAGTAGGTACCTGTACTAGTGCTGTAAAATAGAAATGAATAAATAATTTAATTACCTGCGCATTTCATCCCCTGATGTATGACGCCGTACAGTAGAGAACCGCAATGATCACAGAAGGTCGGAGAGCTGAAGGTGTACGGTTTGAAATTATGCTTCGTCCGAGTGTCCTGCAACAGAAATAATAATTTACATAGAAATGGGACATTACGTACCTACAATCAACATACGTGATCACGTATGCTCACAATTTATTTGAAGATCCAACTTTTAATTCAACATAGTTATAACACGAGAGGAAACGCCATTTTAGTAGAAATATGTAGCTAAACCATAGGGTTGTTGGGAAAGTCATTTCGTTTTCTTTTGTGGAAATGAAAGACAGTTTTCGTATAATAAACAAATACTTTATTAAATTATATATTGACCGTTCTGGTCCAACACCTTTTGCCATCTTTCTGGTAGTAGCATAATTCCACGCTCATAAAATTTTTGGTCTTTGCTGGCAAAAAACTGATCGAGGAAGTTTTTGACCTCCTCATTTGAGGTGAAGGTTTTACCGTCTAAAAAATTTTGGAGTGACCGGAACAAATAATAATCCGATGGTGCCAGGTCTGGAGAATATGGTGGGTGTAGCATTGTATC